TATAAATTAAAGGCTTGTAGATATAAGATATAAATAATAAATAATGATGTGTTGGTGAATAATTACTTGAAGGTTAAAATCATAAAATAAAGGGTCTTTTCCAGATAGCAATCTTATATTATAAATAATGATTAGAAAAGGATAAGAGAAGTAATTAATGTAAGAGATGAATGCCTTATTAATAATAAAAGTAAATGACAATAATATGTAAATAAATAAGAAAGACATATGTTAATAAAATGGCTAGAAGATATAGATCCTGTAGATATAGCCGTGTGACCAGATGATATGAAAAATATAATAAATTAATAAGAGAAATCCAAAAGGCTGTTGATAGAAAATATTTAATATCATAAAGGAAAAGGAGAGTGTAAGACCGAATATTAAATCCTGGAATCTGAGGTTGTAAAATTCCTTGTTGTTGTTGGTCTTTTCATTATATCACTATATCTTTTAATAAAGCATTATATATTTAAGAGAGAAAAACCATAATGTAGGATATTAATTGATAATGAATAATAATAATTGATAATGTATGAATAATAATAAAGAAACCCATCAATAATAATTAATATGATGTTAATGAATGATTAGAAGAAAGATATTATCATATTATTTATTGAGAATTCCCTGACCAACCGTTAACTTAAGATATGAAAGCAAAAGTAAATAAAATGCAAATAAAATAACAAGACCATTAATTACAAATAATGCATGAAAGATATATGAAAGATACATGAATTATATTTACTTTCCTTGAATATTAGAATTACATGATGGGGTTGAGATCTCTTAAGGAAAATACAGCATTTGTTTGTGATGAAATTAATTATAAAAGAGCTACCAAAATAAGAGATAGATGAGAGGAAATGGATAAGAAATATAAAAGAGAGAAATGGATAGAATAAATAACAAGGAAATTATTGTCCCAAGATACCAGGAACTATAAAGGTAGAAATTAATATAACTAATAATTAATATAAATGATAAGAAATGTATAATAAAGATAATATAAGATAAAAAGATACCATGAATCATAGAATAAATAGATATAGTGAATTAATCCTAGATCTATAATTTAAGATAAAAGAAGAGAAGTATTCTCCAATAATAAATAAATATCAAGGTTGAATAATAATAAAGTTAACCACCGGTTCATATTTCTAGATTATATCTCCTGAATATTACTAATAAGAAGAAACTAATAATAATGTATGATAAAAACCATAACTTGAATAATAATAATGGTAAAAGAGATTATAAATAATAAGATTGTAAATAGAATATAAAGATAAAATAATATAATGAACATCAACATTAATAATAATATAATATTAATTGATGATTATATGATATGATGTTAAAAGACAATAAGATTCATATAATATAAAAGGAAATAACATATCAATTAATATATAATATAGATGATATAATAGATGATGGAGAAGACCATTGAATTCCTGGGCAAAATAATCATAAAGTTAAATAAAGGGATAAAAGACATAAATATTAATAGAATTCAACCTTTATATAAAATGGAATATAATATGATAAAAATAAGATAAAGACCATTATTATAAATCATGGAAGAACCATTAATTGAAATAAAATAAATGATAACT